TTTTTTTTTTTTTTTTTTTTTTTTTTTTGCTAGGCACCGTTTTGTATCATTGTAACCGAAAGATTTTTAAGTGATACATTTTTGATAAATTGTATCACGATCTTTACATTAGTAGTGCCACCAAAATAATTTTGGTAACCCTGCCATAGTATGGACTACCATCTAATAAGCAGCCTAGGATCTGTTCTGGGGAGTCCTGTGCTGAGCTCCTATGCTAAGTCCAAATCCTTTCATCACAGGTCTTTGTTCCTGCAACTCTTTTTGATATTTAAGCTGCTTGTGTTTGAGGGACATGGTCCCAGAAGTTAGCAGAGATGTGTGGTAGGTGGTAGAAGAATCTAAAAATATTTGATTTGGAGGTGTAGTCAAAACTCTTTCATTCCATCTTTACGGTTACAGAAGATTTTCTAAGACTATAATTTTGTATATGAATGCTCTTTGCCTCTTCATAGAGTTGAACTCTGAGTTTTCATTTTAATATTAACAGGTAGGATAAAAAGGTTAGCTGAGCACTTGTAATTCACGAAAGATTGCAAAAAGATCAGTGTTTTTAGTTTTTAGTGTTTTTCCCTTTTAAATTGAATTGCTTAAAGCCAAATTGTTTCAACATTGCTAAATCTCAAAAGCTCAATGCTGAAGCAAAAAGAATTACATACAGTACAATCTAAGTAAAGTTGGAAAACATGCAAAACAACAGCGTATATGCTTACTAACACATGTACATGGTATAACACATGTAGTGGCATAACGTGCTTGGGAGTGATTAGCACAGAAATTATGGTAATAATCACCTTTTAGAAGGGTGGGCCAGAAGTGTGCTGTAGTGATGGGTTCAACAGGCTTTAATAATATTTTAGGTTTTTACAATGTTAAGATTTGTTAAAGCTAAGTCTAAATATGCTTTTTATGTTCTTTGCATTTCTCAGTATGTTTGAAATATTCCACAATCTAACCAAAGAGGGGGTCTTATTTATTTAATGTCAATAGATCTTAGATTAGCCTCCAAAATTTCTGCAAAGTTGAGATCTGAAGCTTGCACAAAAGAAAGAAAGAAAGAAAAAAAGAAAGAAAGAAAGAAACCAGTATCATACTATGTCTGTCCAGATGTTTCTGTTTGCATATTTAATCCCTTGTTGAAGGCCCTGATTCCCCACAGGAAGTCCTATGAAGTATTTTGCTTTGTAGCTGAAGGATTTGTAAGATGAAAGGTCCTTAAACATGAAATGAGATCAGTGGTAACCTCATGATTTAAATTGTTTTTTGGAAAAGTTGTTTGATCTGCCCCCTCAAGGGGAAAAAAAAAAACACACAGTGATAGCCAGGATATGTTATGACAATATATTGATTTTCTTTCTTAGTATCTAGATCACCATGGCAACTGGGCAGAAGTTGATGAGAGCGATTAGAGTTTTTGAATTTGGTGGACCAGAAGTGCTGAAACTCTTGTCAGATATTGTAGTCCCGGCTCCAGAAGACCATCAGGTAGAAATAGACACTTTGTCCTGGCAATGATTACCCCAACTGTGAAACTCTAATTTAGGGTTCAGAAGAGGGGAACTCACAGTGATTTCTTCAGACAGTGAATTTGGACAGAATATGCCCTGCTTATATTTCTGAACCTGAAAAAATTATCATAAATCGAATTAGAGAAGTAGACATAGAAAACAGTTGCGGAGAAAATGTTTGAAGCAGAGAATCTACTATGGAGTGCAGTAATTGGATTTTCCTAAGTGGGCTCATAAGTCGTTTTGACTAAGTTTTTCTATTGCAAACTTCTGTGATTTTTACTTTGCACATGGTGGGAAAACAATTTGCTTCTTCATTCATGCTTTTTCACATATGATTTAAGATAATTTAATTGTAGAGTTTAATCATCTCCAGCAACGTTAACAATATAGTTTTGATTCAAAATTATGTACTTCTATTACTACACCTTCCATAGCTCCCGAGTCTAATTTCCTGAGCAAGCCTTATGAGAATTTTTACAATTTGCCATAACTTATCTTTACAGATGATTTCTTATCACTTCCTCAGTAGACTGTGCTGTAACATCATCAAACTTTATCCATTTTTCCAAGGAGGCCCTTGATTCCTTTTTTCAGTGTATATACCATTCTTTTACTGGAAATACCCATTTTTCTCCCATTTCTGCAGAACCTCTGCTTATCTTTTAAGGCCTCAGTCAAATACTACTTCTGTAAGCCTCTCCCACTCTTATATCAGAATTATTCTGTATTAATGGTAAAATTAGCTACTGTAATAGCTGTAACTACAAAATCTTAATGGTTCAAAAGTAGAAATTGATTTCCCAAATTCTAAACTGGTGATAAGTAGCTCTCCTCCCGCAGTGACTTGGAGATGCAGGCTTCTTTCGTCATGGGACTGTGCCAATGTTACCACCTGACTTTCAGGTTTCTGTGAAGGGTAAAAGGCTGCCTAGGAAGGTTTCTATATTCATAATTATAAAGGAGGCCAGAAAATAATGTCCTTCCTGTGTTCCTAGGAAAAGGAGGAAGTATTCAACGAACGCATAGAGGTCTCTGCCACACCTCCTTTAAGTAATTCCACTGTTTTCCCAATGCTTTTTATATGGCAGTGCTTTTTGTTGTTGTTGTTGCCTTTTGTTCATTTACATGTTGGCTTGCAAAACTAGAATATGAGCTTGTTGAAAGCGAGGCCTTATCTGTTTTGTTCTCTTTGTTTTCATAACTCTGAATGAATGTCTGAATTCTCTGTGTGAATTAAAATACAATGTCATTTCAGGTTCTAATCAAAGTCCACGCATGTGGTGTCAACCCCGTGGAGACCTACATTCGCTCTGGTATTTACAGCAGGACACCACCCTTACCATATACTCCTGGCACTGATGTGGCTGGGATAATAGAATCCATTGGCAGTAATGTGTCTGCTTTCAAGGTATTGCATTTTTAAAAATATTTGTATTTGACTTAATATTTCTTTTTCTTAAACTAACACAGCTTTTTAAAATATATCTGTATTTAAGGTTTCAAAGGCCCCATTACATAGTTTCTGCCACTTGGGGGACTCCTCTCATCAAAAAAGAAATGGTTTCTGATCCAGAGGCCTTGTTTGTTGGCACTGGTGGGAAAACGTGCCGGATAATTTCTGTCTCTTTACATTTCCACAGACTAAACTGTGATCCTTTGGATTTAACACCAATTTGTAAATAAAGAAAATGCTACTTACTATTTCCTAACTCTTAGTAGTTGTCAAGCCAGCATATATTTTAAAAGTATTTTATGAATTTATTTACATGGAATAGAGGGAAAATTAATTCTTCAGAAGAATAAGTAAAGCACGGAAACATGTAAGGTCGCTCTCAGTTTAGAGCTTTGCATCAGACGGAGGTCAGTAAAAGTGTTACGATCGGGGCTTTTGCTATCTGTACACCAACTGCATACAAAGCATAGATGGTGTACTCAGGGCGTACACGTGTTCCAGCATCTTCCCTCAGAACGTCTTGACCTGCTCAACTTTGGCGGCACAAAAGTGGGCAGAAAGGCTTTGCCTCTGCCCAGGAAGCCTGCGGATTCCTGTTGCTTTTCCACCTCTCAGCTGATGGCAACCTGGCTTCTGCCCCTGTTGCTCCTCTGAAACGATTCTTGCTAATGTCACTCATGGCCTCTGTTTTGCTGCAGTTAACAGGCCCTTTTATTTCATTATCTTTCTTGACTTCTCTGTGACATTTGACAAAACTTTTTCTTCAGCTTCTGACATCCTTTTCTCCTACCCTCCTTGCCCCTCCTCGCTGGGCATTCCTTTCTCAGGCCTCTCTAACTCTAAATGCTTCTCAGACGTTGGTGCTACCCAACATCTCTGTCCCTATTTGGGGCTCTCCGTCCCAGTTAGACCTCTGCTTGTTGCATTTGTGTTGGGTACTTTATCGTGATGGCTGCATGCACTTCCTTTTTTTCTATTCTCACCTGTGGTATCTTTAGCTTAGGGTTCTCAACTAAGTCTGGAAGTGGGCTGTCCAGAATGGTAGCCCCTGGCTCCATGTGGCAATTAAAAAATTAAAATCAAGCTAACTTAAATTCAAGTTGAAAATCCAGCTCCTCGGTCACTCTGGCAACACCTCACATGCTTCATCATCCCCCGTATCTAGGCTGTTCCTACTGGACAGTGCAGACAGAACGCCTCCATCATCACAGATGGTTGTTGGCCACGCTGGGCTCGCATGGTCAGAATCAGGAACCTCTTACTGAGCGTGACTAAAACAGCCCCTATTTCCCCGCTGCAGGTCCATTCCTTTCTTGTGTGACTGCACTGGTGACTTCTGGGGTTAGAATGGCGTCTCACTTTCCCTCACCCAGCCTTCCCTCCCTAGAACTGCTTTCCCCCTCTTTGTATACTTACTGCGTGAGGTTTAATTCGGGTTATCCTATCGGAGAAAGAGAGAGCAGAAAGACAAGAATATGCCCTTCCAGGTCACACCCCTAGCAACCTACCCCCAACCAGGCCCCACCTCCTGACATCTTGTTATCTGCTGAACCAATCAACAGTGAAACCGCTTGTAAGTGTGGCACCCCCTTGATCCAGTTACCCCCCCAAACACATGCGACTTTTGAGGAACATTTTAGATCTACACTGTAAAACACTGATATCAGTTTTGTGTGTATTTAAACTGCAGAAATGGGATTAATCTTAATCTAATCTTGAGAATTTGCAGGAGACAGGACTGAGTGATGATGCTTTTCTTTAACTCTCGGATACTGCTTGAATCTTTATTTCTTATCTCTCCTACATGATTCTGTTACTATATATTTTCAGATTTCTGTATTATAGGACTTGAGCACCCTGATGTTTTGCCTACTCTAAAGAATATTTACTTTATATTTTTGCAAGGAAAAAAGCATTGGAATAGATGGTTATAGGGGGCAGCCTGATTTCCCTGGTGCACCGATTGTATTGGAGCCATAAAGCCATGCATGCTTTTCAGTGGTGAGGGCCCAGCAGACGTTCACTGAGAGTTTACTGTCATTCTGGTGACGAGTGAAAAAAGCCTGCCCTAGCCTGTCCTGCTGTCGGGATCCCAGCGTGCTTTCCTGCTTTTGGGTATATGCACGGAAAAATGATGGGAGTGCGGTGGTGAGGACATGCACGAAAAGCACTTGGTGTGTGGGAGAAACTTTACCCTAATATATTGGGCACCGAAGTGACTGCATGTTGACTGCCATTTGCTAACTGCTTGAGCAAAGGAAACTACAAAACTTTTCTGTACTTCAGTTTCCTTGTCTCTGTAATTGGATGTAAAGTGCAGGTAAATTTATTATGGTGACGGTTTCTAAGGATTGTGCTTATCCTGCATAGTTTGGAAGCCCCGGTGTATGTATTACTTTGATCTCTCCCCCAGAAAGGCGACCGAGTCTTCACCACCAACACCATCTCTGGGGGCTATGCAGAGTACGCTCTGGCCGCAGAGCACACGGTGTACGCGCTCCCGGCCAACCTGGACTTCAGACAGGGAGCTGCCATTGGCATCCCGTACTTCACTGCCTGCCGAGCTCTGCTGCACAGGTAAAGGCACACTGTGAATTTATAGCCAGTGCGAAGGAGAGCGGTATCAGCGGCTCTCCTCCTTGCCTTGGTGACTGGTGATTCACCATGCAGTGTTCGTGGAATGGGAGCTGTTCATTTGGGAGACTGTCGTGATCCTGGGGCACACGAGACCGAGCAGAGAAAAGGCCATCTTAAAGATACTCACAGTCCAGTGAGAGAGGCACACGTGGAGTAATAATATTCATGTAAGTGTGGAGAGTACAGGAGGGAAACGTATGAAGGGATTTAGAGGATCACAAAGGATGTGTGTTGTGTGGAGAGGCGCAGTTTCCTGGAGAAGCATAAGGCTTGGATTATTTTAAAGCTGTGGTTCATAAAATCCTGTTATCCTGTAGAACCATCTGGGCAGCAATTTAAAAGTATGGTACCCTAGACCCACTGAGACTCGAGAATCTATATTTTGATCAGATCCTGGGGAGGAGTAGCTGGGGGGTGTAAGGATATTTTCAACAATGGTAATAATGTGGTGTATGGGGAAAACAGCATGGTGTCTGAGCAGAGCTATAGCAATTTGGTTTTGTTGAATAGAAGATTTCAAAGCAAAGAATGGCAAAGAATAAAGTTGGAACATAGTCTCTCAAATGTTAGCTGTTACCATAAAATAGGATTAAGACTAGAAATCTAGCCTATGGGGCTCACACATTGTTCTGTAAGGGACTAAAGGTCTTGAATTGTCCGATTCAGGAGAGTTTTATATTTGTGTTTCTCTGAGATCCCTTATTTGCTATTGGAGGGATGGATCTGAAGACAGGTATGGAGGGAGAGAGGAGAGTTGGTATGAACAGAGCAAAGGATAGGTTAGAAGAGGCAGAGAGGAAAGAGCTGCTATTTAGCAGGGGTAAATTGTTTGCAATTGTTTGCAAGTGAAGAATACTCCAAAGGAGAGGGAGACTTAAGGACGCAGGTAGCTTTCTGTCTTGGGTCATGCATAACTGCAACAAAGAAAAAGAGAAGAGAGTCGTGAAGGTAAACTGTGTTCACTTTGGACTTGGAAGTGTGGGGCAGACACTCAGTGGAGAAATCTAAATGAGCCTAGAGTCGGATGACTGGAAATGCATGTTGGGGACTGTTGGCATGGAAGGGCAGGCAGATGAGAAATGATGGCTGTGCCTTGGGGAGTGAGAGTAGGACCCCAGTGAAATGTCGCTGTGGAAGAATGTGGTCGCTGGAAGGGAACAGAGTCCTCAGGGACCAGAAGGAAGTGGACCCCAAGGCCATGAGAGTGTAGGGATCACGATATTCAGTTCGCACCCAGTAAGCACATGGGCTTTGGAAATAAAAATCCTGGGCTAGAGTACTGTCGTCACCCAGTACTCAGGATAACACTGTGCTCAAGTTACTTCTCCGTCTCAGGTGTAGTTTACTGATTTGATAAACATGGGTACTAACAGCAGCTACTCCCGGAGTGTGGTGAACAGGAAAAGCTCTCAGGACAGCATCGGCTGGCAGTGTCAGGAGCAGCAGCTGACACAGCTTCTCAGGAGGGAAGCTGAGTGTCAAGTGCAGTAAGGAGGTCTCTGCCGAAGAAGCACTGATGGACTTAGCTCAGGACTCTGCAGATGTCTGGCAACTCTAAAATCTGCTGGGATAGGTGGAGCCTTGGGAAGTCCACAGCTGGCCGGCCGGCTGAATTCTTTCTTTGGAAAAGGCCAGGCTTCGTTCAGTGCAGACTTGCAGCCGGTTGGATGAGGCCCACTGGATGGCAGAGGTGACCTGCTGTCCTCAGACTCCAGTAGTTTAAATGTTAGCCTCACCCCTACACGCCTTCACAGGTGCTCCCCGGTTTGATGAGTGAACAAGTGTGAGGCCCGTTGAGTTGATCTATAAAATAAACCACCGTGATAACGAGGCACGCACACAGCAATCATAGACGAGTCGGGGTTGGACTGTGTTTTTCCCACTGACTATAGAGTAAGGCAGGTGCAGCCCGACTGATGCTCAGAGCCACGCAGAGGCCGGCATTCTCTCTTACCCCTCACTGCTCTGTGTACTGGCACATCGGTCTGGACCGCAGAACAGACTGGGCTGGAGGAGCCTGCCTGGGGCGAGTTCAGTGGGGGCTTGTGGGAATGACAGTCCAGGTCCTCTGAGTGTGGCAGTGCCACTTACCGTGCCCACGAGCACCGCAGAGCCCCCCTCAGAGGCAGCACCAAGTTCCGGCACCCGGCACCCAGCGCAGCCAGTGGGAGGTGCCTTCACCTTCGCCTGAGACTCTGATCCCACTGAGGGGCGCATTTGCTCTCCGGTAAGAGTTTGCTGGAAAACAGGTAGAGTCCTTCAAGATAATGCGAAATACTTGAACTTAATTAACTTCAAAACATAAGATGATAGAACCTGTGCTTTTTTTGTACGCAGGGCCCATGTGAAAGCTGGAGAAAGTGTTCTGGTTCACGGTGCTAGTGGAGGAGTAAGTATTTTGGTGTTTTTTTTTTTTTTTTTCAGTTTAAGTTTAAATGAGCTTGGGTTTGTGGTTTTCACACTATGAGTCATTTTTAAAACCTAAACTTATGCGGTCCTGACTGCTTTTTTTTTGTTTTTTTTCATGTTTCCTCTGTAGTGAAGCTTTTTTAAATTCAGTCTTCTGAAGGTGATTCTCTGTCATTATTTTCGCATTTCTTGGTTAATGAATTCAACATATCACCTCTTCAAAGTATGCATTAGGGTTTCCATCACAGTGGGTGTGGACCAAGATAAACTGGCCTTGTTTTTACCCTCAAGTAGCATAAGTTGCAAGAATATTTATTTAAAATTTTAAACAGTTCTAAAGGTTAGTATCAATTCCATATTCCTTCAGATAAGCAAATAAGGCTCATTAAAGCTTTACCTGTGTAGCCCCAGACAGCACTGCAAGGCCACACTGTGAGTTCTTAGTCTTTTCTCTCTCCCTCCGCTGCTTGCCTGCTGTGCTTTGATGACATTCATGGAGTGCACAGCATACATCTGTGTGCTTAACACCACAACCCATGGCTTAAAATGCTAATGCTGAGGGGAGAGGCCTGGCAACTTGAGAAATCAGCCCTTTGCAGAAATCTCCCGGCGCAGGCCTGTCAGAAACCTCTTCAGGAAACAGGCTGCCAATCTGCCTCTGAGGAGTGTAAAGGAAAAGTGAGAGCTTGGAGGTTGGAATTAACAAGAAATCCACATGACCTCTATCCTGCATGTTGGAGGCTTTAGAAATTTTGGAGATAAGATTTCACATTTTTGAAAAATAAAGGGCCTAGGGTAAGACAGCTCCCCTTATGGAAGGAAGCTTTTTAACCCTTTGTTGTATTCTGAGGAGAGAATTGCAGGAGGTTACCTATTACACAACTGATTATGCCCTGAATAATGAGAGTGGAACCCTAAAAATGTGAGTTTACCTCTAAAAGTGGGTAGAGAATCGAGTCCTTTTTCACCTTTCTACATCTTTAGAGAGATGTCATAAAATTTCCTATCTACCTATCTATATGCCTCAAATAGATCAATTCTGAAGGATTTCACAGACCAGACTATTTACTAAAAAACACCAAGATTGTCCTTAGGAGGCTTGAGAAAATATGACAGATAAGCCCTATCAAAACTCCTGTTTTTAGAGGGCCGGGGATTTAGCTCAGTGGTTCTGGACCACAAGCTCAGGGACCCAAGTTCGATCCCCGGTACCAAAAAAAAACAAAAAAACTCCTATTTTTTTTTTCCCCTGTACCGGGGTTTGAACTCAGGACCTTGCACTTGCCAGGAAGGTAGGGTGCCTCTGAACTATATCCCTGGCCCTAAAAATTCCTGTTTTTCAGCTTTACCAAAGAGGTTATATTTGGGTTAAATTAAATTTAACCCTAAATAACTGAAAGTCTGTCAAGTACATGCATTTATTTAAATTGTGCTGGCTTTCTGAGAGTTGACCCTGTGCTCTGTAAGAAGAGAAAAAATTCAGTAGGAAGGAGAGTGAGTGAAGAGTTTAAAGAAAATCTCTTTTTATTCCCTTTACCCTCTTGCAAAAAGCTCAGGCACTTCACTATGAATTCTTTTTAAAGGTAAAATCCACAGTGTCCCCGGGGGTGGCTGAGTTTGTTAAATCCTTGGCTGTTGGGGATGGACCAGCGCCTGGCGTGTGAAGCTTTTCTGATCCTCCTGCCCTATCTAGGGAGGCAGAGCTGGGTCTTGCCTTGTTTCTGTTTGTACTTTCTGTCCTCATTTAATTCAGATACCTTTGGGATGATGTCCTATGTTGGAAACAGTGTGAGATTTTTGAGCACAGCTATTATCCTGATGTATTGGTAGGAGTGCCCTACTTCAGTGATAGCAAAATAGGTAGAAGAAAAATAGTTGATAATAATGGTGCCTAATCCACTGAAAGAGCGTTGCTACTATAATTGTTGACAAGAATAAACAGTGCACTTAGAAAAACTATTGGTGACTCCTTTAACGATAGAGGATAGGAATATATATTTACAGTTAATCTTAGTTTAAAATGTGGTTTTATTAGAGGTCTATTGTTTAAATGGAAAATTAGAGTTGAAGTCAATTGTGCGGACCCCGTGGTGTCTTGCACACCTACAGTTGGGTATCTCCCTTCCCCTTGCACAGAAAGTTCCACGTATTTGTTAGGTCAACAGATCCCTGCCGTAACCGGGCTGAGTTCAGGCTCTTCAACCCTATGCCTCACAGTCTTTAAGGTACATTTTGGTTTTGGGAGTTTGTGGCTGTTACACTTTAGCAGATTCCTCTCATCATTTTTTTCATTTAAATGCTTTTCTACCTTACCCAACCCATTCCTTCCTGTGGTTATCAGTAGGGGATGATTTTGCATTTCCCCTCACTTCCTCTCAGGGACACTTGTTGTTGTGTGGAGGCATTTTTTTTTTTTTTTTTGGTTGTCACCCTGAGGAAAAAGATACTGGCATCTAGTGGGGAGGATCCAGGAATGCTGCCAGAGCTCCCTTCCAAGTTCAGGAGAGTCCCCACAAGAAAGTTACCTGAAAACATCAGCCAAAGAATGTCACCAGTACAAGGGTCAAGAAACTCTGCTCCAACAGTGTGACACTTATCTGTGCCATTTGTCATCTAACCGAATGTGTTTCCCAGCATTATTGTTTAACTAATTGCTCTTGTACCTATATTCCTAAATTTTACTTATTTCTTTTATACTAAGCACACTTATCTGGTGTTCTAGAGATTTCATCTAATCTTTTGGCTTTAAATACTACCTCAAAGTTTGTGGGCATCAACTTTGTGTCTCCACCTCTGGACTCTGGAGTTTTACAGTGGTACCTCAGATCGTGAACACTCTTGTTTGCAAACAGTTTGGTTCACAAACAGAAGCGTTTGACAAAACTTTGTTCTTGTTCGCAAACTCTACGTCGGGTGACAAACACGACCGTGGCCATCTTTCCCACACAAACACAAGTGTGGCCATCTTTTCCAGAACTGTAGAACAAATTCAGTTTGTGAACCAAGGTACCAGTGTACCCTTATTCATCTGATTACAGAACAACTCCGCTTGGGTGAGCGCTGTGCACTCAGCATGTTCTGCATGAATTTCTCGATGCTTCAACAAATTGACTGCTCAGTTAAAGAAACCCGTACTTTGGGACAAAGCCCTAGGAGGCATCCCTGACTTTTTGTCTTCACCTTCTACATTTACGCTATGCGGAAGTCGCTTACCTGTAACCTCTAAATTTGTTTTTGCTCTTTCCTGTGCCAGCTCTTTACACCGAGCCAGCTTCTTCTCCTATCAGGACTATTATTATTATATCAGGCACGAGCTGGTCTTCCTTCCCATCCCTGTGCCTCCCCTGTGATTGCAGCGCCCTTTCCTAATGCCTCAGTTCATCCTTCACATCCCCTGATTAAGCTCTTCATGAATCTTAATGTAGCCCAGAACCTTTACCTTTACCTGCACGGTCCTGTGCCCCTCGCCTCCCTTTGCCTCCCTTTGCCTCTCTCTTGTGGGCTCTGTCTCTGAGTCACATCGACCCTCTGTCTGTCCTCTGAGCCCTCGAGAGCATTTCCTCTTCACCTGGTTCGTCATGGCAGCGTTTTCTGTGACACCCCAGCCCCTCCGTAGCTGTTCGGCTTCTCCCGTGGTTTGATACTCACTTCCACCTGGCCTCTTTTCTGCAGTGGCAGCCCTGGATGACTTAAAGACCCTTTCTCTTACTTAACTCTGTTTAACCCAGTCGCCCAATAATTAGCACTTACCATTGTCTGAATTTACTTTACGAATTTATTTATGCCCGTGTGGGTGACCTCTCCCCTCCTTAGAATGTAAATTTCTTTCATGAAGTACATGGCTTGCACATCATGAGCACTCAACAGTTGTGCAGCGTTGTGTCAGCTTTTCATCGTTGTGACAAAAGAGCTACCATAGACAGCTCTAAGAAGGGAAGGCATAGGTGGCTTGTGCGTTCGGAGGGTTCAGTCTGTGGCAAGGCGGCCAGTGGCAAGGCAGAAATGTCATGGCAGAGGGGTGTAGCAGAGGGAAGCTGTTCACGTGGCAGCCAGAAAGCAGAGGAGAAGTGTCAGAGAGAGGGAGCAGCCGGGAAGAAAATACACCCTTCAAAGGCACCCCTGCCCACAGTGACCTACTCCTACAGTGACCTCCCTTCCGAGAGCCTCATCCATCAGTGGATGAGGTCAGTGCAACCTCGATCCAGTCACCTCTGTGGGCCCCGCCTGGGAACGTTGCTGTATTGGTGATCAAGTCCTCAATACAGCAGTCTTTGGGGGACCAGTTCATATTTAAACGGTAGTAAGCATACAGCTAAATTTGCCCATCCAACTTTCCCTTTTGCTTAAACAAAACAGATGCCTTAGCTTTGTGATTTAACTAGTTGCAGTGTAAAAGCATTTTCGGATCCTATTTAAAGCAGAGCCCTGTGGTGCGGCGGCTAACCACTCTGGTTCTGCAGTCTCGTTTGGCCCGGCTCCTGTTCCCTCTCCGTTGGTGACTTGGGCAAGGTACTTGTATTTTGAAGTTAGAGCTTCCTCATCTGTAGAACATAGACAAAAATAATATCTACTTCATAGAATCATCATGAGGATGAAGTTAAGCAATGTGTATATTTAATATTATGCCCAGCAAGTTATAATTCAAAAGTCATTTTTCTTATTTCTTCATGAGTGTTGTACATTCCTTCAGGGTAAGTTAAATCTTAAAAGAATCTTAAGTTCAGTGTATATAGATACTTAATACATGTTCGCAGGAACGCAGAGAATGTATAACTGGATTAAATTTTCTTTTTCAGGTTGGGCTAGCCACGTGCCAAATTGCTAGAGCTTATGGCTTAAAGGTTTTGGGTACAGCTGGTGGTGAGGAGGGAAGAAAGGTTGTTTTGCAAAATGGAGCCCATGAAGTTTTTGATCACAGAGAAGCTAATTATATTGATAAAATCAAGGTAAACGTTGCTACAGTTTTATGGAACTCACACATTGTTTATTGGACGCTTACATGGCTTTTTATAAACTTTTTCACCAACTAGTCTCCTAAAGTTGTTTGCTTCCTCTCTTATACCTATATGTATTTTTCTACCTATGCCTGTTTTAAAGTTTTAAATAATTTTAAAAACAGAGATGTTCATTTTATAACCTTTGCTATGCTTTCTTCATTGAATGTAACCTTTCTAGAGTCTTACAGCTATAAAAATTGATGTTCTTTAACGTAAATCACATTTTAAGTAAAGCTACAGCTTTGTATTTACAGACGTGAAATACCCACAGGATACCAGTATTCCGTGAATCTGTCTAGGCAGGGAATAAAGTTTTATTTGTCACTTGTGTGCTTTGGAGGAATGATTACTATCTCATTCAGAGTGGTGGCATTTAGCTGTTACATAAGAGTTCACGCAGATGCTGAAGTTCCTCATTTATACTCTATTACCAGTTTACTAAACTGATTACTTTGCTCATCTTCAAACCCCTAGTAAGAATTAGAATTTCCCAAGTTGTGACTACTTTGCGGACTAGGTCATTACAGACTGAGGAAGAGCACAAGTGCAAGTTAACTATCACAAAACCCTTTTGCCAAAAACACTCAGCAAAGGTGATACTTTATGTATGTCCAGGGTAACTAGGATCCAGTACATAGTCCTGGTACCATTCTCCCAGAACATTTACAACAGTGAAACATGACAGGTTGCTTTATGACTGTGTCTTTCGTTGAGCAGTATCTAATTTTTACAATGTGGTCTTGAAGCTTTTCACTGATTCTCTCTGCCTAGCTCTCTCCCTTTCTCTGTAGATATCACTCCTTTGTCCTCCCAGCTTGCCCCTTTTCTCTCCTTCCTTTTCCCAGCAGACTTCTTGAAAAAGTAGTGAGAACTTACCTGCTTTTCCTTCCTTTCCTTCATTGCACTTTCATCTGCATCCCAGCTACTTCGACTGGTGGCAGGGAGTCACTGATAAAGCTTAGTCACCAGAATGCTGGGCTTGTCAGAGTACTCATTCTGTTTGATTTTTCTGGAGCTCGTGTCCCTGATCGTATCACCTGGAAGCTGATTCTCTTTGTGCTTCTCTGACAGTTCACTTTCAATCCGCTTTCTTTTTGCATTGCTTACCTATTAGTGTCTCTGGGGTGTTTTCTGTTGGTCTCGTCTTCCGTGTGGTAGACTTCCGTACTGACTGGTCTCATTATTCACATGGTGTCAGTTATTACCCACATGCTCCGGATTTCCTAAACTATCTCTGACCCAAATTCCATTCCTTCGTGCTGTCCGCCTGCCACTCATCTGGTCGCCCACGGCAGAAAGCCTCCTTTCAGTTTTATACCTTTTAATCACCCTTCTCTTCCCACTCATCCCGTTGGTCACCTCATTCTATCAGTGTTATCTCTGATGTGTCTTCGATACAGACCTCTTTCATTCTCCCATGACTGATCTTAGGTCTCAATTTATCCATCCTTGGCTATTATTCATATCTCAGTTAGTGTCCCCTTTGTATTTTTTACCGTCCTTTTAAAAAACAGACCAAAACCAGCAAAAACCTCCGAATAACTAAAATAGAATCTCTTAGGACTGCAGGGGGCTGTCATTCGTTCATCAGTTCTCCAATGCTCTTGCAGTGCCTAGCACAGGGCTTGGTACATGCATTAATGAAGACCCACTTTAAAAATATTTTTCCAAATTCCTTAACATGGCATGTAGTGTATTTTCACAGTCTGTGCCAGTTTGCAGTGTCCTCTCCCACAGTGGTTTGGACGAGCATCCCGCAGAGGACCCTGTGTTAAAAGTCTGTCCTCTAGTCCACGGCACTACTGCGAATGAGCGGAAACTTTAAGAGCTGGAGCCTTGTTGGAAATCTTCTGGTTATATGGGAGCATGCCCTTCCGGGGACGTTGGGAACTTGGGCTCTCCCCTCTCTCCTTTGTTATGGTTTTTAATCTAGATGTCCCTCCAAGTCTTCATGGGCTCATACAGGGGACTCTTGGATCATGGACGTGTGATACTCAGCAGTGGATTCAACAATCACTGGTGAATTTAAGGCTAAATGTGATGTTGGGAGGCAAAGCCTGGGTGGAGGAGGTGGGGCACAGGGGCGTGGCCTGGAAGGGTCTGTCTCCCTCCTCCGCCCTTGATCTCTCTCTGCCTCCTGCCACCATGCCATGAGTAAGCCTCCTCTGCAATGCCACCCTGCCTTGCAGCCAGCTGACTGCACTGAAACCTCTACAAACTATGAGCCAAAATAAACCTCTCCTTCCTTACTTAAGTCATGGGTGTCAGGTATTGTGCCTCCATGACAAGTAAAGTGACAAGGACATTGTTGTCTGCTGCTTGGCCGCCATGAGGTAAGCACCTTGTTCCCTCATGTGTCTCTCACTGCCTTGCTATGGGCTCAAAAGCAGCAGAGTCATAGGCTGAAACCTCCAAGACTGTGAGGCAGAGTAAATCCTTTCATAAAGTGATTATCTCAGGTATTTTGTTAATGTTAACAGAAAGCTAGGGACACACACCTCTTTTTTTCTGCTGTTCCTCCTTCTCAAGCTCTCCTTGTATTCTTTGCTTTTTTTACATTCTTGTATTGAGACTCCACCTCTTGTCTGGCTTCCCCTTGCTCCTCCTTCCTTTTTGCTTAAACTCCTTTTCATGCCCCAGGATCCAGGTCATTGTCTGTGGAACATTCTCTGACCATGGCAGGCAATCAGACTTTAACTTTTTCTTCTTTAACTTGTGGCTTATTTCTGCTAGTGTAGCATGTAGGGAATTGAGTCTTCACGATGCTTATAGAATTTTCCACCTTCCTAGCTTTGTTTTTTATCTCAATATATTCATTCTCTGCCTTCTAGCATAATGCCTGGCATGGGTTCTCATGTTTTGTTAAAATAAAATCAATATATATAGGTATACATTAGCTTTTCTTAAGTTCTAGATTTAGATGTTGGGAACCAACAGAAGAGAATTAGTGTGTGTGACAATTGGATTATAAATCATTTCGAACACAGCCAAACACTCCAAGGCATGTGTGTGCACACACACACTGCAATCCCAAGCAGTTAATTCTTTTTTTCTTTTGCTCTTTATTTTTTTAATAAAAATAGGAGCTCCTTGCAAGTCTTGAATTTTGTATTTGTTGTTTATTTCTTTGCAGAAGTTCAATTTGGAGATGGAAGATTTGGAGATAGTTAAGGAAATACTATTTTGTATTCTAGTTGTTTGTAACACCTGAAAATTCCAGGCAAATTTTATTTCATTACAGCAATTTATATAGTACAAATCTTTACCATTTTAGGGTTGTGGATGAAATCGGATCATCTTTATATAACTATATCATTTAAAAATTTGCACTGCTAGTCTTTAAAAGGTAACGTGTTATGTGTCATTTAGAAAAAAGGCTCTGTAAAATATGGCACTCTAATAGCTATTTTATAGTGTTTTTCACTTGCTATCTTACTCTACATTCTGTTTTATTATATAGAAATCTGTTGGTGAAAAAGGAATTGATGTGATTATTGAAATGTTAGCTAACGTAAATCTTAGTAATGATTTGAAACTTCTGTCATATGGAGGACGAGTAATAGTAAGTAGTTCTTTTTACCACTTTAAAGTTTCACCACAATTTAACATGACTTTGCAGAAATCTTTCATTGCAGATGTGTTGTTTGCATAATAGGTCGTTGGCAGCAGAGGTTCTATTGAAATAAACCCACGGGACACCATGGCAAAGGAGACTAGTATAACGGGAATATCTCTGTTTTCATCAACCAAGGTCAGAAAAGAAGTGGTTTTGATTTTGGTGACTTAAATATCAGCAGACTAAAAGATAAAATGCATATGATGCCCACTTATCTGGCTAGAGGATCAGGTGATGATTAGTTACCAGATAGTGAGGACAACAATATAATTTATTACCCAGGTCAAGGCACTTTTGAGAGAGAAAGGGAATAGTATTAGTAATTAAGACAGTGGGATTTGTGTAAAGTAAAACTCTTGCAGGCAACGGGACTTGTGGTTATCCTTTAGAAAACTTTTATATAGTTCTGGACAAACTGACAAAAAACACAAATTTGTAAGAGGCTCTTTGTGATATATTTCTTCTGCAGCTTTTTCAGTGCTTCTAAAACTTAAGCCATCTGATCCACTACAACAAAAATTGTTTTTTTCTTTCCCTTAGGAGGAATTTCAGCAGTTTGCATCAGCTCTTCAAGCAGGAATGGAAATTGGTTGGCTGAAACCTGTGATAGGGTCTCAGTATCCCCTGGAGAAGGTCGCCCAAGCTCATGAAAATATCATTCATGGCAGTGGAACTGTTGGAAAGATGGTTCTTCTGATATGATTCTTTCATGGGCTTCCAGTCTAATTAGGAGGTTTTCTTTCTTCCACCTTATTTACATTGTCATTAACTAACATATGATTCGGTTAATTTGTCTTAAAAAAAAAAACAAGATTTTTCTTTAGGGAGTAGAGACAGTGGAGTAAAGTTTTATAGCTGGGAATCATTTTTAATGCCTTCTATCTTAAATCAAGGAGTTATCATAGTAGTGTGCACTTGGCATTGGTGTACATTTCAGAAATTTTTAACTGATACTTGTTTAATTCCATGCTATTGACTAAAGCAGGCTACTGCTAAGTCAAACTGGTTGCCAAGTCTACTAATCTTATTAAAGGTTCATTAATCACCTTTGATGAGCCCATAGCTCTATGGGACCTCACAGACATTCTGGACTTAAAAAAATTTTTTTAAAAATCCCTTTTCCAAGATAATCTCATTGATAGTTACTTAGAAGGGAGAAATTTGTTGATTTTTTTTTCTCAGCATTTCGCTAAATAGTAGAAAATTCACACTATCACTAGGTGATTGTCAGTGACCTGTGTATGTAGCCTTCGTGTAGTACTTGCCTCACATTACTTTGGCATAGCTACTAATGGTTACTTACTAGTGCTGTTCTGTGTTGGAAACCTTTACCTAAACTAAATAAAGGAACAAACTTGGAAACCTTGTCATCAGTGTTATGTCCAAGGAAATACATTTTGTTTGTTTATTTTTGCTTTTATTTTTCTTCATATGAACACATCTTTCTGTTTCTTGCTACATTTTGTGGTTGATGTTCTTACCTGATTGGTTCGTTAGAATGACAGTTGCTATTTTGAACATAGAATTCTGCATTTATAGTGAACAGATAACAGAAAGTATTTCTGGTTTCTATAAATACAAGGTTTCACTGTCTTCTAGTACTGTGCTGTGGCTGATGTGGTTTTTGCTATAAGCATTTTCCACATTTTTTCACTGTCTCTTGTACTAGCCTATAAGAAAACATTCTGGAGAAAAGTATCAAAAACTAAAGTTACTCATCTATAGAGTAGCTCTGTATGTGCTTCTTAAAGTGGAAGATTATTTTCCATGTACAAAGATAAAGGACTAATTATTCTTTAAAAGTCAATTTAATGTTTGTACATTGGCCTCAACCATGCAACGGCCTATGCATAATATCCATCTCAACACTTCACAATTCACTGATGCAGTTCAATTAATTTTGATGACCAAATCAGCCAAACAGTATGCATGAACTGAACTGCCACATTCATGATGATGTAGCACCGGGCATGCTTTCCACATGAATATCCTTATAATTCTGGTTCTAGCCTTGTCCTAGCTTATAGCCAGCTATATTCACTGGTTAGGGCTTAGGGCTACTATAGGGTTAGCAGTGCCTGTCCCTGATGTAAAATAGTAGAAAACAAGCATTACTTCATGTAGGGGACCACCCCACTGATTATGCCCAAAGCAGTCTGTAAGCAGTGCAGATTGTAAAGGTTAACCCCACAATTAGTTTGTTTATAGAAGTGAGTCTGACCGAAACCTATGTGCCAAGGTCAGGGTGACTCTTTATCAAACTCTATTCCCAGAGCTAAAACCTTCTTTTCTAAAAAAGCAAGGTTACTTATTAACCACAACCTACATTTTGTCTTTTTTGTTCCTAATTCAAGAATTCATTGTCTTTTCCTTTTCAGTCCTTCCCTGAATCAGCAGTGTATCCATAGCAACTCCATGTAGCCCCTCTACCTTGATCTGACTATGATGTTACCAATAAATATTGGTGGCTGTGGCTGTTCAGGGCCTTTGCTTGTTCAAACCTCTGAGTGCTCAAGCACTGGTCATCCTGGCTCCCCATTTCTGTTTAATTCCGTCATTATGTCTTTCTTCTTGCCATGCATCATGGCACCAAACAAGAAATCAGGATTTACAGCAGGGACCACCAGTAATTTCACCTCTAACTAAACCTTTTGGATTTCTGTTTCTGTTTGACTTGAATTCTGTGACCTAGATTCATATAAGGTGTTAAGAGACCAAAGTGACCTTGAGCCACCAAAGATGAAACATTATGTCAAAGGTCATGTGACTAGGCGCTTCAAATTCAGCTGACTTTTAAAAATGTTTTTAAAAAGGCTATTGGTATAAAATCACAAACTCCCAAACTTTAATTTCTAGGTCTTTGGCTTTCCTAGCTCACCTTCATTTTGCCTGGAATGCCTACTTTCTGATCCATTCATCCACCCTTCCCTGAATTACCATTGTGCCCTGATGTGGAAGTCTTCTGTGAAGGGTTTATTATATTCCTCCATTAGCTCAAGGATTACTTATTGAGCACTTAGAATCTCAGAAGGCACCCTACGAAAATTTGGGAATGCTAGCGAACATAGGATATGGTCCACATCTTTAGTTTACTGTTGAGTAAGGATAAACTCAAAACTTTTGGCGTGTATTAGACAGAGTTCTGCTAAGAAACATACATATATTAGGAGATTTATTTGAAGGCATTTACTCATGCAGTTGTGACAGATCAAGGACAGGCTTTCTGTGTTGTAGTTTTGAGGCAGAATTCTGTCTCTGGGAAATATCAGTTTTAACTGTTCAAACCTTCAACTACTTGAATGAGGCTTACGTGTAGCAGTGGGAGAAATTTCCTTTACTAATATTAAAGGTAATTTTATGTAAACATATAAATAAAACATGATGACCTTATATTGACACATATAACCAACCATTATTAGGAGTGACAGGGACACAGAAGGCAGATACATAGTGTAGCTAGGAATTTCCAGGTATATATTTAATATTTTAAATGCATTTTTAGCTCTGTTCCGTAAGAGCTTTGGCCACAGAGGTAAAAAAAATGGTTTGGGTGCTTCTGGAAGGAGGAAAATTAGACCTTATTTTATAATGTCCTTAACTGCATTATTAAAGCATGGGTGATATGTGTGCCAGGAGGTTTCCAAAGTTCACGAAGACTTTTTTCTCTGCACAATAACTCCAAGAACAGCAAAATCTATCTGGTCACTCCGACCTGGCTCTCTGCTGCCTCAGCCACGTTTCGCAGGTGAAAACACCTCAGCTCAATCCTGTGCATCTCTTTGTAATGTGAACGATTTTTAGTATAGTCTTTTTAAAAAGTGTCATTTTAAAATTGTCATACTACAAATATACCATTCCACATGGCGTATTATGAGAACTCCCTACCTCCAAAGAAAGGGACTAGAAAATACATGCCAGAAACCTGGGTGCACGTTGGTCCCTGTACGTCCTACGAGGACAGTCCATGTATATATAAGTCAGTTTAATGCTGATTCCAAAACCATTGTGTGGTGCGAATGTGCTGAACATGCCCACATATTAGCAGTCCCTCATTTATTCATTCTCAGCTTCATGGAAAGGTAACCCATGAAGACTGCAATAATACAGTAAAGTAGGCTGGGGATGTAGCTCTGAGGCACAGTGCTTGTCTGGCAGGCAAGAGGCCCTGAGGTCCATTCCAGTAAATAAATAAATAAATAAATAAATAAATAAATAAATAAATAAAATAATAATAATAACAATAATAAATAAAAAATAAATAAGTAAAAGACCCTCTGCCAAAATCCATTGGGAATTTCCAATTCTAGTATTAATCGTTGGACTTAGTGAGCCAAATGAGCTACAGGGTAAACAGGAAGAAGTCTCAACTTAGTCATTGTCTTTGACTCAGGACACAGGAACTATGCTGCGTGGAAAACCACAGTCCTCGTTGCTGAGAAACCATCTGAGTATTTGGGGTTTCACATCTATGCCCATATCGTGGTTTCCTTCAACTTTGTTCTCATAGACTTTTTAGAAATGGCAGGTTTCAAGTTTCAGTGACGCTATAGATGAAAACAGAACTTTACACCTTGGGTGTTGCTATATTTTGATATGAAATATTCCCCAAAGCCCAAGAGTTGGACTTTCCCCAGAGGCCGTGGAACTTAAATGAGGCAGCACTTAGTGGGAGGTCTCGGGTAGGTCCCTGAGGGTGTGCCCTCCAATGGTATTTTTGGGCACCCGTTTCTTCCTCCGTCTTTCGCTTCCCACGGTGAGGGGAAGGCCCTTCTTTGTTGTACTGCCTCACTGCAAGCCCCAAAGCAACCATCCCTACCAATTGTGGACTGAAACTTCCAAAATAACCAAAATAAGCCTTTTCTTTTTGTGAGCTGATTTTCCAAGAAATTTGTTATAGTAACAGAACTCCAACAGGTGTGCAGTCACCACGGAGAGCGCATTGCATATGGATGGAGAGCAGAGGTCCCCGGGGTGTAGCAAAGGCTGGAGAGAATTCACCATTACAGAGAACACGGCTCTGACTGGAGCAAAGCCAGATCCCCCGAGAGCTGGAACGGAAGATGCTCACACCGCAGGCCTGATTCAGGGTATTTATGCTGCCTCCCTATAGGGATAGATCGGGAAGGAGCTGAGCTCCCTTCGGGACGGATGAGAGGGCCGCAGGCATCATGAAATTCTCTGATACAGTTGTGAAGAGCATGGGTTAGAGAGGCAAAAGACTTGGTTTTGAATCCTAGCTCTGTTACTGACCAGCCATGGGATCCTAAAATACTTAATCATTTGGAGCCTTAATTTCCTAACCAGCAGGGGGTGGTAGGTATGAAATAATGAATTAAGTAAGATAATAGCTGTGTAGTATGTCGTGTGACACCTTACACAACGGAGTTTTTAAATCTATATTTTTACTGGTCCTACAAAAAGTGAATTGAGAGAAAAGGGGAGCATCCTGAGATATGCAGCAAACGACAACCCCAAATGCAAATTCCCAAAGGAGGTACAAGTGAGCATAACACAGAAAATTTACTCGGCCACCTGCGTAAACTTGGTAACTCTCCAAAACTATGCAGGAAAAAGATATGACAGAACAAACAAAAATGCAACCTTGGGATTATAGGTGTATTTGAAAACCATCCCAGAAAGATGAAAGCAGTCATAAAGAAAACTTTTCTGAGATAAACAAAAGAGCTGTTTCACACTGATTTACATCAGTTTTGTCATATTACTGATAACATAGCCTATCCTTTAAGGTTTTAAAATGTCACATAATTGGAGTTGGAAAGGAACATACAGAGGAATCATTATTTGCATTGGCGTTATTAAAACCTGGAAAAGGCAAGAGGACAAATGTAATAAACAATGAATTCAGAAAGGTAGCTGATTAATAAATGTATAAAAATCAAATTAATAATGAAAAATATTCACAGCTGAAACAGTACTGTTACTGTTATTTAAAAAGCAGTGAAATATAAGCAACCAAAATTGTAAGAAACATACTGGACTTTTAGAAAGAAAACTACAGCACTTTCCCAGGGTGCATAAAGGAATACTCAAAGATTCTTGGTCAGACTCACGTAGAGTCTCTGTTGGTTATCTAAAAGTTCAAGGCAATGTATAACAAAATCTCCATAGGGATTTTTAGAATCTTGACAAAATATTGCTAAAGAAATTTTAGGGAGAAAAAGGGCAAATTGCAAGAAAATTCAGAAAAGAAAATAAGGTAGAGCCAGTCCCAGCAGATAGGAAATTTTTCCAAGAAGTTGTTACCAGAGTCATTGTGGTCATATTGCCCCCAGTGAGAATGGATCACTGGAACAAAATAAAGTTAAAATGCTTCTTATTTTGTGGGTCATAAAAGAGATTAT